GGTACCACGCGTGCGTGGCACGTGGCCACGCACGCCACGCAAGTCATTAGTTGAACTTGAGTTGAACTTGCCTTGACAGTACATATATACTGTGTGATGATAAGAATGCTTCGCTAAACATATCCTTTTATCTATTTCTCATTCATTGGTAAATTGTCTGCAACAAATAGACCTTTGTTCGAACATATTTCAAAGCTTAATTTCGGCCAATTAGAGTTTTTAAACCTTCAAATCTCGATTTCTAGATACTATTGTATCTTCCATGAGTGTATTTAGGATTATAAGAAAGTTAAATATCAAAAATTAGGTACCCTCTCATTTTTCCAGATTGAAGTTATTAATCCAAAGATGTCGCGACACTATGAACATCAATTCAACGTTGCCTTTGTATCAATGGTTCCTTGATTGCTCCAATACCACCAAACTGATCATTTAATTTCCACAAGAACAATCTTTCCTTAAGTACAGATATACCTTGGACCACACAACCAACCATGCTTGCCTACCATGCAGCCATGCAGCCACACCATGCAGGCTGACCATGCACAGCCATGCTGACTAACCACGCAACCACGCAGGCACCACACAGGCTTCGCATAGAGACCACGCCAGCCCACATAAGGTTACCCTCAGAAAGTGCATCCTTTGCATAATTGTGTCTTAATTGGCTTGTTTCTTCGGTGTCATTCACATCAAATATAGAAATCCATATTCCTTCTCATGTTGTCCTCTTCACTGCGAACCCCACATTGTGTACCTTATTACTTATAGCTTAGCAGACCACCTCTAATGCCTTTTTATACAGTTAGGATACTCGTAAAATTATTTACTTCAGCTACAATACTTTTGATGTTCTTAAACTTCACAATCCAGTTCGAAATTTTCATGATATTGACCATATTTTGAAGTGTTTCGATATCCCACCAAAGCTGTCATATTTAAATCTTACAGGTATTGACAATCCAGCTGATTCTATGCAAGGATTGACAGAAAAGAACGGAACATGTCGACTCTTGAGTCGCGTTTGATGGACTTGATCAACTTTTGATGGGAGTCCCGCAATTTGTCAACCATGCTGACGACCACACAACCATGCACCATGCAGCCATGCAGCCACACAGGCTACTACGCAGAACTCTTCTTGCCCAGATCTTTATTAGCATCAAGATATCAGATCCTCGAAGTGTCGCGGAGCTTAGTTCTCTCGGCGCAATTGATTGTTTCTATGCTTTTCTTTCTGATCTATCTGATGTTTAGGATCCCGACTCATTATCAGATGTCAATGACCCAAACCCTGCTGAATCAATCCTATGCGATATGTTCCTGAGTTCCTATTTATTCTCATGCTTTGCCTATCCATTACCAGGTGTGCGACGCCGCTCCAATGTAGGACATCCAATCATTGCGGAGGCAGACATGTTAAATCAAGATAACTCATCATTTATTGCTAGCGATTCCCATACTCGGGACGGTTTTGTTGTGCTTAGATTTCTCTTTCTTTCAGCTCTGAAATCGCTCAAACATTTCAAATCGTGATGTTTGCAGAGACCTTTGAAGGTAGTTATGCTTTCTTTTGTGGTCGTTGTGGTGACATTAATTTTGCAATGCCTTGCGACTTTGTATCACACTCCAGCAAGTCGTTTCAGCGTGGTCGATTCAGCATTGTGTATTTGGCAGAAATTTTCCGAAGTAACTAAGCACCTTGTAGGTCAGGTCATGTCTTTGTTTCGCTTTTACACTTACTCGACTGTATATAATGAGAGGCACGATGTGCGGTATGTGTCATCCCGCTGTCAGCGCTGAATCCCAATCTCGATGTTTTTCTTCAACTAGAATGGAGACGGACACTCACCTGCATATTGACTGCCTGCCAGAGGACCGGGAGTGAATCAGCACGTAAAATCAGAGATAGAGTTGGTAAGAAGCTCTTCTGATCAAGCCAAACAAAAATGACTTAACTTTCAAATCACAATGCCACACGTTGCAAGCATCAGCGAGGTAAATATACGACCACGAATGTATCTTTGACATTTCAGGTGCCAGCTACGACAGTGGCAGTTAGTTTTCTTTTATAATTTCAACGATAAGCAGGAATGCACGTCCTGTAGAATGATGGTGGGTCCCGGCATCGAGGATAGCTGAGGTCGAGTCTGACGACAAGTTCACATTGATTGCACAGAAACCGACCCTTAGGAAGGCGCTTCGAAGTCAGAATGCGCCTGCTGGTCACAGAATAGAATAAAATCTACAGGTTTTACCCTGATTCATGCTGGAAGCATGATCGTTCATGTTAGCGCCTGGATAGGAGAAAAAAACGCGTATAACTGGTCCATGGTTCCAGAGGGTGATCGTAATTCAGAGAGTACATGGAAGTGAGAATTGTCATTGAGCGGGAGAAATGTGTCATTATCATGTTGAGTAGGGCTCCGTTTCCCCTTTTATTAATACAGGCTTGGGCGCATGCTCCCTCACCTGTAGGGATGAGCTTCAAAGGGAAACTCAGCAATATATGAGCCCTCTTTTGAAATTTGCGGGACAGAGCCACTAGATATAGCATAAGCGCAAAAGGGTCTACCTCGGTCTTAAATAGTACAACTAGTCGGGCTAGAAACAAAGATTAGTAGAACGACCTACTACTAGTCCACACCCACAACTCTCAAGTTTTGAGCCCTAACTACATGAACTAAATACGATTCAACATGTGATATGCTACGATCTTGTCGAGTATTTATAATTTAACTTTATCAATGATGTTACATTCTTGTTCGTGAGTGTCATCTGGTCTCCGAAAACTCTATCAGGCAGCAGACATGAATAGTTTTTGAAGTTATTTCCAGACAACTTGATAACACTATAGCTGTATAGTGATATGACTCTGTTTTACGAAGGTCCTTAGCACCAATTCAACTGCACCTTGAATAAATATGGTGCTAGAAATTTGAAGGGAGGAATCATTGCCGTTGCGCCACATCTTTCGAACAGAAGCTTTGAGGGACAAGACGGAACTAATTCGAGGACAATGTTTCGAAATGTAGTAAATATTAGAGATAAAGTTACCACTAACCTGGAGAACAAGCGGAGAGAAGGATTACACCCCTCATGATAATTGATTCCATCATTGGGGCACGACTCCAGACCGATAAACGAAAAAGCATCCACACGACGTCTATTCCTACTGCCACAACACGGGCTTGAACCGTGGATTTCTCCTGTACAGTACAGAAGCTGTTACAGATGATCTACTGTCATCCATCATGGCATGGAGGACCATGTAATATATGGCTAGTGAAAGAAAATGATGAACAACTGCTAACACCTTACTGTGCTATCAACTTGGGCAATTTGGTGTTATTCTTGCTTCTCTGGCAACCACCACTACAACTCTATTATTTCTGTGTGCTTCTCTGTGCTCCAGTCTGAGATCCGATGACTGACATTCTTTTATTCAGCGCTACTTGTTTTCGGAAGTTTAGACGGTCCACAGTGATGAATCAGCTCTTGTATGTCTGTGTTCCCAAATATCCCGCCCCCGCTTTCGTGAACCTGTCAACGGCAGCAGTAGTAGTGGTTTGAGCCCGCCTGCTGCCATTCAACGATTTCATGTCCTTTTTCCCCTTAAATCATATGTCACTGTGGTATATGCCCTACCTGTCTCTCACATAGAGTGATTAAGTTGCTTATGATCAATTCCGGCTCGAATTTTGGATGGGGACTGGGCGTCGTTCCTCAAAAATTTCGAGCCCCAACGCACGATGCGAAGCGACGTGTTGATTTCTGGGCGTTTACCATCAGCGCTATATATTGGAGAGCTTTTTATCAAGCAGAGTGGTTAATATTAATAAGTACTAGATGAGAGGATCGACGCATCATGGTCAACAACGTGTCGCGTCTCAGTCACGTGGAATATAGATCCTCGCTTGGCTTCTATTCCATTTTGGGGAACTCGTCTTTCCCTCCGCCCATGACATCAATTTTGTCCAAGTTTTCAGAAGGCCTACAATTACACCTCATTTGCAAGATATCTGCACGAAAGGAGGATAGAGATGTTTGAGCAGGACATGCATGGGTGAGTCATCCTTTCTCTCTCTTTTCTGGCACTGATATCTGCATAGTATCTACTGCATTTCAACATCACCTCAAAGTCCACTCTGATGCACTGAGACGAGTTTCTTTCTGTTCACCTCTCCGTGAGGCGGATACCTGAGAGATGAGATCATGAGAGTTTAGAGACGACAATCAACGTGTTTATGGAATTCCGGAAGGATAACAGTAGGTCATCGGTCCCTCTACAGCTTCCCTTATTATTGATATTGCGTCTCTTCACAGTCGACGCATCACACTCCGTGCTCTGGGATTGGGATCTGTGCACATATACATCCCGTGCGCCCTCGTCAATGTCTGTAACCTTTCTTCTTCCGTGCCAGTCTGCTCTGACAACACAGATGCTCCAATTTTCTACCCCAGCTCGTATGTGGAAGAAAAAGCTTGAAAGGTGAAGGTGAACGAAGAGAGTAAAGGTAGGCATCGTTCACTCTTTTCTCGGCCTTCTCACCGAGAGCTTCTTAGATGCTCGTGCTGTCCCCCCTATGACATGGCGAGCCAGGTGCATGCTATTGCATATACAATCCTAGTGTCCGGTGCCTATGCTCTGGAATCTCGAAGCATGCAGCTCTCCGTCTTTCCATCTAGAGTGTATGCTAGTGAGTCATCCTGTTCTCTATCGCTCCTCCCTCATAAGTCATCATTGTTTCCAGATACCATCTGCTACGACCTGCTCAACTTAAGGCTTCTCATGTAGAGGGACAATCTAAGTGTCCAGGATGTGTCAAAACGAAGATGACGAAGTCAGTCACTAATTTTTTCTCTTGCATCCTTCTCTGAAGTTGAGTGTAGCCTCTGCCAAGCCGTCCATTTATGAATCAACACCATATACCGACATGCCCTGTTTTCTTTATTTTGCTACGAGCGCAGCCTCAGGGTCATTCAATCAATGCACTCGGATGGCGTTACGAACGATTCTACGGGGTCTATATCATGAACGCCTGACCATGGGGATGAGCTCATCGGTGCTCTCAGGAAATGCCGGTACATCGTGTAACCTAACATCCACAGCAGCTCTGACCACTTTACCTCTGCCTGTGCGACTCAATATCATCTATCCGTGCTACGATCATTATCGGAAAGCCATACTTTTGATTCATGCCATCCAACGTAAGGTCCGTGTCCCCTGAAGCTGCATTATTGTCACTAATACACTTCTAGGTGTAAGTCCCATTCCCTTGCTTGGCTCGCTGGCTGCGTAGGCTTCTCTTTGCAACCGCATGTTCCAGTCGATTTCCAGTACGTCTGCCAGCAATGTAAAACTCTAGAATTAAATTCGATATTTTGGGAGTGTGCGCCTGTGATACGATGACATTGACACGCAACTTTCAATTCTGTTGTCTCAGTCACTATTCAGTTTAGTGAACTAGACTACGATATATATCCGCTACGAAATAACGACAGGGAGAGACAATGTACTATAATTTGTACTCAGACTCGGTTGGAAGCTATGTCCCGCAGCCTTCAAGTTTGTGAAGACAAAGGTTCAAATGATAAAAACGCAGACGGGACTGAAAGATAATCTCATTATTAACCCAAGTCAAAATCAAAGCTGAACCTCGCTGGTCCTGGGGACTTATTTGGTACCACTGAAAGGAATAATTGCTACGACATGGATTCGAACCATGATCTCATCATGAATGTTCTCATAGAGGATATCGATCATATGTTAGATGCGATCTACCATTGATCTACCGTGGCGTGTAGAATTAATGGTATATGCAGTGAGTGAAAGGATATGTCAAGATTCGATGGGTCAGTACTTTAGTGGTGAGGGTGCCATGCTATCATTCTTGTCAGGTTACCAGTTGGGCTATTGTCCTTTCTGCTCTGTCACCAGCATGGAAATTTTTCTCGTAGTCCACAACAAGTGCACTCTCCTACGGTATTACATGACTCCCAATGGTGAACATGCCAATAGCTGTAAGCAGTCACGGTTCGACTCCATCTGTTGCCCTAGTGAGTTATGGTCATTCTTTTTGCAGCAAGGAGGTCTATGCTTCCATTTCATTGATTGCATCCCAATAAATACTGGGACTGGCACTGAGCTTTTGTCAGAGATTCTGCAAATACCTTATTTGGGCAAAAAATTGATTATAATGCCGACTCTCGGCAAGTAATGTCTAATAAGGTCAATAATGTGTCACATGATATTATATTCCACTAAAAAATGCATCTGAACTAGAAGGCCTAGGAAGGCAAATTTGGTACCAGCTGAATGTGCATGTCCATAAGATAATTCTGACCAAAAATTGAGGCTCTCAGACCTTCCTAACACTTTATAATGTGGCATAAGTGCATACTAGAGGAGAGTTGATGTAATAATGCTTATGCAGAGTTTCTGACATTGGTATTTAGACAAGAGCGTGAGTTGATGAGGACTTTACCCATCTTGAAAATGACATGATATTCTGGGAGTTGGCCATCTGTGTTCTTCATCCCGGAATTTTACACTATGGAGTGCCAAAAATTATGAGTGTATGGTTGTGAGACACAATTGCCTTATGAAGTCGAAGCATCTTGGACACATTAGCCATCATGATCATGTGGCCTGCGTTAGTCCCCCATTTTGGGAAACATCCAACATTGTCTTTAGCTCCTCTTGCTCACTTAGCTTTATCTACAAAAAAAATGTTTTCCGCCATCTGAATCATGGAGTAACTTAGGGCTAGGTCATTTCTGGAAAGACGGAAGATAGGTGGAAGCAGAACAATACCCGAGTGGGATGCAAGGAGCATGCTGGTGAGTGTCGCCCTTGCTTTTCTCTTCTATTGTTCTGAAACTGGCATGGTATGCACCAGTTCTTGAGTTTGAGGATTGTTATTATGTTCATGCCTCCTTGGTTCTGCTGCCCTGGGAAACAACAATGCATTCGATGTTACCAGCAAACAGAGTAGCAAAGTGTCGCCCACATCAGCCACTATAACTTTCTTTCTCACTGAGCTCTTAGTGCCATGATGTTCCTCACTCTATGCTGCATGAGCTATGACTTATGTGGTCTGCCCCCATTCTCCTTTCGCCTGACTCTGACTGTCCTGAACAACTTTCTATGGAGTTGTGTCAAGTCATATGCTGATATCTACAACAAGATGTACCAGAAACGACCTCCGATACATTGATGCATAAGGAGAGAACTATACTATACCTCTATGTCTTTCATCAGCTTTCACTTGCCAGAGAGCATGCTAGTGAGTCGCCTGCTTTTCTCTCGCTTCTTTGTCTGACATCCCCATAACCTCCATCACCTACCAGGCTCATGCTTGATGATCAAACTCTCAGCTTACTCCTGTTTGTCTCCTGCCTGCAACACCTGATCCATTTATCATCGTGCTTTCCTTGTGGTCTTTCAACAGTGGAATACTGTGGTAAGGACCGCCTGAGCATCAATACAAGTAAGTCTGCATTTTTCTCTCACTTCTGTCTCTGCTGATCCTCCGTTTTGAAGACCATCAATCAATGTCAAGCCTGGATTGCTGTGAATGGTGAGCCATCGTTTACTCTATCATATCTATTCTCATTGACCCTCCCACATACCCGGAGTTGTGGGGATGTTCACAGAAATTGAGCTCCTTCTGACTTCATAGACCATATTGACATGCTATGTGTTCTTTCTTCCACGGCTCTGATGACTCTAATTCTGTATGCCCAACTTCGTATTGGCTATATTTGATTCAGAAGGTCGTCATTAACATGCTTCTAGCCATATCCATGAACAGTACAGGTTCTGTTACCATTGGGGGTCATATTATTGTAGTGAGTCCATATTTCTACTGATTCATCGATAATAAGAAGTATCCAGATGGATTACGTGCATACATGAGGTGAATGAAAGCGTGGCTCCCATTTTCCCCACCCTGCTCGCAGAATTGATACTGGACCGCCTTGATGACTTTAATTATATGATGAGATTTTCCACATTCGAAACTTCTCTGCATTTTAGAGACCTTAGATCTGTCGTATGATCAAATAGAATGCATGTGAAATTTTTATTTGGGTGGAGAAGGGGACAAAAAGTACACCTAATGCAGCAGTGCCACAACATGGAGTCGAACCGTAACTTCCCCCTAGCTTATGATAGTCAGCATCATGACTATAAGTTGGAAATGATCTACCATTGATCTATCGTGGCATGAAGATGTGTTATAGCAAGGACTTGGCAAAGGAAGGACATCGATGTGGATCCACATCATGTACTTCTGCACTCATCTATTACTCCCCAGGCACAGCAGCTTAGATATATAGAACCTCTGCGGAGGAAAAACAAGAAAGCAGAACTACTGTCACCTTAATTGTTCAGGACTTCAGATCAATAAAGAAAAAAATATTGTTATGTGATGTTTCAGAAATTGCCATGACATGGAGTTGAACCCGTGGTTTTATCACATGTGGGTTTTGTGGATTACTAGAAACAACAACCGTGAATCCAGTTTGGCATGTGGGGAATCATATACAGTGATAGATAGGATGCACTGCACCCTTTTGGAAGTTCTATGGGCACACTCTATCCTGCAGGCTTTCTTCACTGATACTTATCACCAGGAGTCGAAATTTGGTCAACATAAGCACTGTTATTTAATGGGATGTTTCCTTACAGATCTGTATATTTGTCCACAGAATTCCTATTGCTGTAACCAGTCATTAATAATCCATGCTCAGATTGCAAATTTGTCAACGATAGCTAGGAGCAGCCATGGTTTGACCCTGTCTGTCTGATTAGAGAATACATTGTATATTTTTCTTGGATATAAAATTATGTTTGACCTTGTGCAAGACTCTGTTGAAAGCATGGTATTTGGCATCCCATACTCTTTTTTGAATCTTTGTTGGCACGTCTAAGATGCGTCTGCCTGTCAATCATGTAATACACATTTGTGCATCCATTTTGGGAAACCCTTCTTTCCCTCCACCCATGACCTTCCTGGCATTGTGAAATCTGCTTTCTGGTCATCAGACTTAAAGTTGACACTGTACTGATTCATGCAAGAGGTTCATGCCAACTCAGATGCAGCTTGAACACATACAGCAGTAGAAAATCACAGGAAAGAATCATTGCCACTGTACCATATCTTTTGAACAGAAAGCTTCGATCAACAAGATGAAACTATTTTGAGGACAAAGGTGAGAAACAAGGGGGGGTTGGAAATAAAATCCCAGACAGGGGGTAGGGGGAGAGGGGGGGAGGGGTAGCAACCTTAAACATGAAACCTCACCTACCATATATAGGCATTTTGGGGGGTCTGATGGGTGACATTGGCATGAAATAATAGCATCTACATCTAAAATGAAGATATTTAGCATCACACATACATTTGTAGTCTGTTTTTCACCTTACAAAAGTTACAATGTGTCACCACCCAAGTCCCTGAGAGATTCACATGGTCGAAATGATTATGAGAGCATTACAAATCATACCTATTATGGATATATTGCTACCTTATATAATAGGAGGGGGAGGGAGAGTGGGGTCCCCTCAGCCTTAAACATGAAAATGTAGGTCATGTCAGGGATTTTATTTCCAACCCTCCCTTGGTGAGTGTTGGGATTTGCAACTTCAAGCTCATGCTAGAAGATTCCTGAAGCTTCGGCTTACTCATTTGTCACAATACTTAGATATATTTAGTACTTTTGGTAGAATATTCTAGATACTCTTTGTAGTATATAAGGAGCTCATTAGGAGCTCTAGTAGCTAACAATTCAGTATTATACCTACTGCAAGCCTCCCACTGCAATAATTCCAACAGTGAGAAATGCAGCAAGTATTGGGGATAAGGTTACCATGAACCTGTAGAACAGGCAGGAGGAATGATTACACTTCATGACACCTGATTCCAATGTTGGGGCGGGACTCCAGACCAGTAAATGGAAAAGAAATGTCCAGTTTCTAAGTCATTGCCATAACATGGACTTGAACCGTAAGTTTCTCCTGTACATTATAGAAGTCATTACGGATGATTTACCATTGATCCATGATGGCATGGAGGACCGTGTAATATATGGCTAGTGAAAGGAAATGACCAACAACTGCCAATACCATACTGTGTTATCAATTTGCACAATTTTGCATTATTCATGCTTCTCTTGGAACCACCACTACAACTCTATTATATCTGTGTGCTTCTCTGCATTCCAGTCTGACATCTGAGGACTGAAATTCTATTATTCAGCGCCACTAGTCTTCGGAGGTTTAGAGTGTCAGCAATAAAAATTCAGTTCTTATCGAGTTTAAATAAGTTGCTTCTAATCATTTCCGGCTCAAATTTTGGTTGGGGACCGGGTGTTGTTCTCAAATTTGAGCCCCCATGCACAATGGAAAGCGACGCATTAATTTCCAGGGCATTTTCCGTGGGCATTATGTCTTAGTCATAGGCAGGATTTGATCAAGCAGGGTGCTTAACATTAATAAGTACTAGGTGAGAGTGATCGATGTGTCCAAGACACATTGCATCTCAGTCACGTGGAACACGGGACCTTGCACCCCTAAACCCTCTGTTTTGGGAAGCTCATCTTTCCTCCCTTCCACCACATCATTTATCTACTAACATGTGGCACGTCCAAGTTTTCAAAAGGCCTACCATTAATTATACGACACCTGCAAGAGAAATGCTTGAAGGAAGCTAAAATCTACTCAAGCTGGACTTGACAGGTAATTACTAATAATTGGCTCTTTCTCTCTCTCTTTTCTTGCTCTGAAGATGGTATAGCATCCAACTTAGCTCAACATCATCTTGATAACATTTTTTATGCACAGAGGCGAATATCTTCCTGGTTACAGGTCCCTGAGGTCAAGACCAGAGAGATGAGAGATTTCAGTGGTCATGCCAGTGAAACTTGAGAAGGATAATGGTCGGTCGCTGGTCATTCTATTACTTCCCTTCTTATTGAGATGGCGTCTTCCTACAGTTGACATATAACAATCTATGTTCGGTAGTTGGTATCTGTGCTCATATACATCTTTCGTGGTTCCAGTCTATTAGCTTTCTTCTTTTGCGCCACTTCAGTCTGCACCGACGATCCAAATTCTCCAATTTTCTGTCCCAGCTATTACCTATGTTGAAGAAAACAAGACTCAAAAGCCCAGGGGAGAACAGAGGAATAATGATACCCATCGTTCCCTCTTTCATCTTCCTTCTCACTGAGAGCTTCTCACATGCCGGTGCTTCTCTCCATATGACATGGCAGACCATTGCATGCTATTGTGTTTCTGACCCTGATGTCTGGCACATACACTCTGAAATCTTGAGGCAACTATCTCTCTGGTTTCCCATGGAAATTTTGTTTCTAAAATTGTCTTTGCTTCCAGAAACCAACTGTTAGCACTTGTTCTCTCGGGGACAGCATGCAGGATACGTCGGAATGAAGATGACGAAGTGAGTTATTGATCGTGTAACCTCCAGATCCTTACTTTACGCTGAGCAATCATCAACTCCATCTCCAGGTGCTGCCCCTGCGGTCATTCCATCCGTTCACATCAGCCTGGCCATGGGCGGAGAGGCTTCCTTGAAAATGTAGTTGCATTTCGGAACCTAACATCTGCAACTCTGAACGTACTTCCACTTCTTCAACTCAGTATCCGTCTAAGTATTATCAGGAAGCAAAATTTCTCATACTATGTCGGTTATGGTTTTCTGAAACTGAGATGTTGTCGCTGATATGCTTGTAGACGTAGGTCCCATTCCCTTGCTCCATTCCTGGGAACTGCTCATTGAAAGAGTGTGCTATATCTGATTGCTACTGCACCTGTTATCATTGTTAATTCTCTATCTTTGCAGTGGTGACATAATTCGGACCTGCGGGTGTGTGATCTAATGATAATCGTAAGAGGATTCATGTTTTCTTGGTTTATGATTGTGCAGTTTTCAATCAGTTATGGTTGATTTTTAAGCAAACTCGGCCATGAGAGATGGCTGCACTACATAGAAGAGAAAGACAGGGAAACACTTTGCATGAGTCATGTAGCTTGGTGGCTGTATAGACAATCTGGAGCTATTATGAAGGCAAGCTTGAGATACAAAAATATAGGTGAGGCTTGTCGATAGTAACACGAGTTAGAAACCAGATGAGAGAGCCAATTTCAAGTCAACCCTGGGCCCCAGCTTGCTGTTCAGATTGACGAACTAAAATAATTCTTACATACCGGGAATATGTGACTGCCATGACATGGATTCAAACCATCATTTCATCGTAAACACCCTATTACAGAGAATATGTCATAGATGTGATCTACCATTGATCTACCGTGGCATTGAGGATAGTGGTATATGTGGTAAGTGAAAGGATACGTGGAGGGTTTGATGGTGAGGGTCTTGTGCTTTCATTCTTATTAGGTCAGGCGATGGTCTGTTCTGCTCTATGAACATTAGGGGAGCTCAAAGTTGAGCGAACGAGTCCTAGAACGGTGTTTGCGAATGCCCGGAAAAAGCTGGTCACATAGTTAGTCATACAATGTCACATGTAGTCACCTTTGTTCCTTTCCTCTGTTTGAATCCTTTTGCTTCTGCTGCACCGCATTCCACACTCATTTATTCAAACTGATAATATTCCACATGGCTGGCAGACAAAAGAAGACAACCGGAGAGCCCATCGATGATGTAGATTGGGATGAGCCGACTGTGTGGGCTTTAATTGCTGAAATGAAGAAGCATGAGAATTATAGAGTTCTATATGGAAAGAAGGACAAGTCTGAGGCATGTCTTTGATCGATAATTTGATCTCCCACTTACACCCGCTTTAGAACACGTCCGGGGAGACAAAAGTCATGGTTCACAAGCGCATCACTGCAGCTGTCATTCCAGCAGTGTATGCCAAAAATCCAACTGCTGCTGGGGCTCATGTCAAAGGAAAGATTGGAAGGTTTGATTGCCATATATATGTATATTTAGTATGGCAATATGCTAATAGTCTCTCACAGGCTTACTTCTCTCTTTCAAAAGTATAACTCGCAACTTCGACAAACTGGCGAAGGCATCAACAATGAGAACTCCCAGGGCCCACAGGAGACCGATTTTGTACCTGCAACTGGACCGGATCATGATACTAGCCCTGCGGCAAGGAATCTATGGGGTTAGTAATATTATTCTCATTAAGATTGTGTCCATCTGACCAAATATTGCAGAGAAAATTGCCCTGGAGTGGCCATACTTCCCTGAACTGTACAGCTTCATGTCAACTCGCCCCAACATCACTCCAATTGCGGTGACTACTGGTGTTGGTCCCCATGGTCATGAGACTGTTGTCATGCAGGCTCTGACTAACCAGATGTCACACATTGATGACAGTAACATTGATCCTGTTCTTCTCCAGCTCAGTACTCCTCAGGATCAGCCAATCCCTGCTCCACAGACTCCTGCATCAGGACGGACTCTATCCCATGAATCTTCCAAGGAAAACGTGGCACCATCTTCATCGCTGAAACATGGACCTAAGCCATCATCCTTTTCACAGGATCTCATTGCTAAGGCCTCAGGCTCGATTATGAAGGTACCACGAAAGTGCTCCTTTGAAGATGCTATGCTCAAGGACTCCCAGTATGATCTTTATTATGAATTTTATTTAATTGTCAAGCTGATTATTTTCTAGGAGACAATTTGAGAGTCTCCGTGAATGTCAGGCTGAAGCCCTGTTGCTTAAAAAGCACAAGCTTCTCTTGGCTGAGTTTCAAGTTGGTATTTGGACTGTTGAAGAGTTGTTAGCCACTAACTCTCAAAACTTAGATCAACTAGGGATCACCACTCGCACTTCGGTGGATGATACGATAGAGGTCAAAGTCTTGTAGAACAAGTGTAGCAGAGGCAAATAGTCGCAGAGCGGGGAGCTTTGAGTTAGGTAGATTAAACCTTAGCCGAAGCTGGGGTTTAGGCCAGCTGAGGCTCTACTTAAATACACGAGGGTAGACTAATAATAGTACTGTGGGAAACCATCCGTTGCGATCGCATATGAGTAATTGAGCTGAGTAAAACGAAGAAAAATGAATAAACCATAACATTACCCCCTCTCTAAGACTCGTTCGTCCCGAATGAGTCATTAGATCCCCACTCGTCGTCATCGTCATCTGAGGTTGAATGCTTGGAATCAGAGTAGAAAGACGGTGTATCGTCTTCATCATCTTCCTCATCCCCGTTCCAGTTTTCGTAAATGCGCTGGAGGTTTTGAAGATTTACCTCCTCCTCGGTGTCGTCTTCGTCATTTATTATTGGCGTTCCATCCGCCTCATCTGTGGTCCCTTTCGGCCACTCTCCTTTGACTATCCTATCCATTTCTTCAGAATGGGCTATCGCGGTGCACTGAGATGATGGTACTGTGATTATCTCTGTGAGGCAAGGGGTATTTGGTTTGTGATACTTCGATATGGTGTTTGGTGGAATTTTGGTGTTGATCCCGACCATTTTTCCTTTGTCATTGACCTTCCACATAACCTTTTGGATGCAAGCTTCGTAGTCATTCATGAGCTCTTCCGCATTGGCCATGTCGGAATGCTTTACCCAGGAGTTCTCTTCCATCGGGTATCCCTTCCACTTTACTAAGTATTCGGTGATGGTTCAGCGAGTTTGTCCGCGGCCAACGACCTTGCCTCGTTCCCCCACAATTTCCTCAATCTTGTATTCCTCCTCATCATCGACCAATTCTGGAGGTGGTCTTTCAGGATGTGGTTGGTCTGGGAATTCGGGGGCATGGTATGGAGTAAGGAGGGATTCGTTAAACCGGTTGTGAATCTTCCAGGCCGCTGGGAGTTTAAGTTCGTATGCAGATGCGCCTTTTTTAGCTATCATGGTGAAGGGTCCTACACGTCGATCCCTGAGCTTCTTGGTCGGTCGTGGAAGGTTTAGGTTGGTTGTGTCCAGCCATACCTTATCACCTGCCTGATACATCACCGCATCGTCCTTATGTTTGTCATAGGCTTTCTTCATGGAGTCTGCCGCCCTTTCAAGGGATTCCTTGGCCTTCTCCTGAACTTCCCTAATCCCTTGGACCAGTTTCGACGCGGCAGGGACTATGTCCAGACGTTGGGTTGTTTTGATGACTTGTCCATCTTGTCCGAATACCACTTTATAGGGAGAAAAACCGGTAGCTGAATGCTTCCGATTGTTGTGGGTGAACGCGGTGAGCGGTAACCAGTTGCTCCAATCATCCTGTCGATAGTTAACGAACATTTTGAGATACTTCTCTATCTCTTGGTTGACCCGCTCTGTTTGCCCGTCCGTCTGTGGATGATAGGCGGTGGAAGGGTTTCCTTCGACTTGTACTAGTTTATAGAACTCCTTCATGAACTTCGATATGAAGATGGCCCCTCTGTCTGAGATGACCTTCTTGGGCATCACCCCATAGGGTACATAAATGTGGTCCCTTAAGATTTTGGCGAAACCCGAGGTGAGCTCCTTGGTACATGCAATCGGGATGATCGTTTTTGAGAATCGATCGACAATTACTAGTATTGAGTCAAACCCCTTAGAGTTGGGGAGTTTGGTGATCATGTTGACTGAGATGTGGGTCCATGGGTGGTTGGGTATTTCATTTGGGTGGAGGGGTGCTCTTTTGGGGTGATGGTTCACCTTAGTTCGTTGACAAACCTCACACCCCTTCATGTACGCCTCCACTTCCCGATGCATGTGGGGCCACCAATAGTCGCGAAGAATGAGTTCTTTAGTCTTCTCCACTCCGGGGTGTCCTGCAATTACATGGTCATGTCGGAGGGCTATAACCTTTCCTCATAGCCTTTTGTCCATAGGGACATAGATACGCCCGTCGTACCAGAGTAAATCTTGATCTCTCAAAATCCCTTTTTCATGGTTAAGGGAATCGGAGATTCCCTGATCCCACTTGTGAGCATCGTGGGTAGCCAGTTTAATCTCTTCATGCAGCTCTTCCTGCGTTGGCATTATTAAGGCCCTAAAATGTTCAGCCTTCAGGACGACCACATCCCTGTTATCCTCCCTTCCCTGGTTGTGGTCCACTTGCCGAGATAGCAGATCGGCTTTACGGTTTTGGGCTCCCAGCTTATGGTGCAACGTGAATTGGTACTCCGCCAGTTCTGTTACCCACAGCGCTTGTCGTCGGTTGAGTTTCTGTGGCTTACAGAAGTACTGGAGGTTGGAATGGTCCGTCCAGATCTCGAAATCTTCCCATGCGCCCATAAGATATTGGCGCCACTCCTCCAGGGCGATCATAATAGCTAGGAGCTCCTTGTCATAGATTTCGTAATTCCGCTCCATCGTTGCTAGCGCCTTTGAAAGGAAGGCGACTGGACGCCATTTGTCATCCTGCAGTTGCGACAATACAGCTCCTACCGCCCCTTCACTTGAATCTGCCTTGACTCGAAACTTCCCTTCGTCAAGTGGTATGGCTAACACCATGTCCTCACAGAATAATTCTTTCAGCTTGTCGAATGCCCCTTGTTGAGCCTTCCCCCAACTCCACTCCGTCTTGCCTGTGAGCATTGTCAGCAGCCTGACATGCTTGCTATAGTCACGTATGAATCGTCGGTAGAAGTTGCAGAAGCCTAGAAAAGACTGCAGCTCCTGCTTCTTGCACGGGACTGGCCAGTCTAGCAGGCCTGCAATCTTTACGGGGTCCATACGAATCTTTCCCTCACTAATGATGACCCCCAGGTACTCAGTCTCTTCTACCTCGAATTCACATTTTTCAGCTTTCAGGAACAGATGGTTGTCCCGAAGAATCTTCAGCACCTTGCAAACGATACGCCTGTGATCTTCCTTGGTTTGAGATGCAATGAGTATGTCGTCCAAGTACACTGATACCTCCCTGGCCGCTATGAGATCCTTAAAAATGTCATTCATCATCCATTGGAAGGTGGCCGGTGAGTTGGTGAGTCCAAAGAACATCACCAGGGGTTCGTAGAGCCCACGGTTGGTGCAGAAGGCCGCTTTCCACTCATCCCCCTGTTTGATTTGGACATTGTTGTACCCCCACCGTATGTCTAGCTTGGTGAAGTATTTCGCCTTCTTGAGTCGGTCCATTAATTCTCCGATTAACGGCAATGGATACTGGTTCTTGATCGTCATCTCGTTGAGTTTTCGATAGTCCTGGACTGGCCGAAGTTTCCCGTCTTTCTTCTTGACGAAGAAGAAAGGGGATGCCATGGGAGACTTCAAGGGCTGAATACGACCTGTGGACAGGTTCTCGTCAAGGAATTTGTCTAGCTCCTCTTGCTTGGAAGGGTTGAGAGGGTAGACCTTACAGTCGAGATTAGCGTTAGCATTCAGGATTAGCTCGATGGCGTGATCCCACGGCTTTCGAGGGGGAAGTTTGTCAAAATTCTCCTTGTCGAAAACATCCTTGAATTCCCTATACTCTTCTGGCACTATCTCTTCAAAGGATTTAGTTGCCTTTTTTGAGTTAGCGCGGGTGGCCAATTTGTTGGCCTTGGTGCCCATCGCTCGAACATGGAAGGCCTCTTCGAAGTCTACTACCAGAATAGTATCTCCTTCCTTGTATTCATCCCAATGGGAGGAAGGGTCAGTATCTGGTAGAGAGAAGGGAATTTTATGACAGGCACAGCGGGCGAGGGTAACAGTGCCAGTGTCCCAATCGATAAGCAGATTGTGCCTCTGGAGCCAATCATGTCTGAGGAAAAGAGGCGTGGTTCCTAAGTCCACCACCGCCAGCTCTATTCGTTCCATGTGGTCTCCAATGCGCAGTCGTACTTCGGCATATTCCGTGATGTCCCCCCCTTTGTTCCTGGTGCCGTCGGCATTATAAACTGGGACAGGTCGTGCCGCCTTTTTAAGATTGAGGGCGTGGTCCCGTGCCCAAGCGCGATCTATGGAACTCCCGGTGGCCCCGCTATCCACTAGCGCCTTTAAGGCATGAACTTCTTGGGTATCCAGTGTTTCCAACTGTACGTTTATTGATACATTACGCCCCTTTCGCCCTCATATGTACATGGGGGGCTTCTTCAGATCCTCCATCCACTCCCACCTGTCTCTAGCCTCTCCGGCAGTCTCTGGTTGCTCCTTGAGAGAGTCCCACAACTCGGGGGTGACCTCCCCCATCCTACATGGGTGTACCCATCGTTTCAGGGTGGCAAAGGCCATGGGTTCGTCCTTGGCTAGTCGTAAGGCTCAACGAGTCCAATGTGTCCTGAAGGGTTCGTAGTACATGTCGAGAACCACCTTCGTGACCTCGGGGGTTGGTTCGGACTCAGGGGTCACCAACGACATCCCCTGAAGTCTGGTGACCAGGATATTGGACCGTAAGTGGGCTTCTTTGTCTTTGACTTCTTCCAATGAGACACAGGGTTTCTTGACTCGAGGTGGCAGTTGGTCACTGGGCCGGTCGGTAAGGCCCCTCGGCGGCACTTGGTCACCTTCTGTCGAGTGGGTAGAGGAGGGCTCGCTGCCCTGTGTTCGGCCCTGGCCAAGGGCATTTGCATGCGGCGTTGTAACCTCTACAGTGATCCTGTATTTATCCTCATTCCTAATGCTGGCAGTACTCCTGGAAGCCCTAGGTAGACGCACACATATTGGCTCATCAAGGGGGTCGACATCATTTGCGGATGAGGCCACTACTAAATGTAGGTGGTCCCCTTGATTCCCTGCCTCAGCTGCTTTTCCACCACTGATGGGAGGATCAACCTGTGTGGAAGACCCACCCGTCGGAGTGGTTGGCCGGTTCTCCCAGCTGGGGTGATGACCACCACGTCTGGCGTCCATCTTGTCTTGACCTGAGGCGCTCGCTGGGTACTCCAGACCTTTCCCCATTCGGTCAAGCGGGGGTGTCAGAGGTGGACCAGCCCCTAAGGGTTCATTGCTTGATGCA